CTTTTATCGATAATAACTAATTGCATTGCTATTATATTGTAATTAATATTTTTTATATAATAGTTCTAACATGAAATCATAAAAAATTAATTACTGTTTACTTACTTTTTATTACTGTGTTAATTTTGTTCGTATTATTTTTTTATATAGATATTGTATACTATATCAAATTAAGTCTTCGCAGTTTGAACATGAATTTGGCAGCTATGACGAATGGGAAGGGAATTTTTTTAGGAATTGGAAAAAGACGAGGGATAATGATTTGGTATCTTAATGAAAAATACTGACCTCGAGCTGTTTTTTGGCAAGTCCTTTTTTGACAAATGGCTCAAGATCGGTGCCCTTTACGCGATACATCATCGTATCGAATTGTTTCCTCTTTTTTTGTGTCGTTTTCGTACAAATTTGCTCGTGAAGAGTGATTCGATCTTGAGCGAAGCGGCGACCACACATTTTGCAAGAAACCAGAGCGTCACTGTGACATTTTTTGAAAAAGGTTTGAAGAGAAAATAGATAGATAACATTCGATTTTGCAACAGGAAAATCAATTACTCTAAAAATTCTTACGTTGCGGCTGCTGATCCGATTTTGCTAGAAGCTGATCCTTTGTACGATGTTGAACCGGAAATTGGCGTCTTTGCTCTGGAAGCCATTTTGCTTTTCAAACCGGAAGTTTGACCCTGCATGGAACTGCTACTAGAGGTGGACGAAACTGACGATGGAGGTCGAGCTGATTGCGCGGAAGTAATCTGTTTCTAATTAATATTAACGTTATATAACAATTATTTTTAGTTGAATATATTTGTTAAGAGGATGACACATTTTTCAACTATTCTTTTACAAATATCATAGAATTGATCCTTATTCTTTCAGCAAATTGAAATTCAATGATTATTCGATATCTAATATTAACATACTTATTTAATAGTATAAATCGTATAAAATACAACCTGTTGTTATTACTGTTTAATTTTGTTATCAAGAACTATCACTAAAAAATTTCGCTTGTAAGTGTCCCGATTAATTATTAGAGAATGAGGAATCCATGTGCAATAAGAAGTCACTGGATTTACCAGGTTAAATAACGTCAGAGAGCAACAGACATTTTACTATATAAACTTTCTACTTATTTTTTTATATATCTAACTTCAAGTCGTCGCGGAAAAATTTCGTACGACATTTTATTGAAATTATTGTTTTTGTGACGAAGAACAGATCATTCATCAGACAGATCATCTTTATAGATAATATAATTTTACCATACTTCTCATAAATAAAGTGTGTCAAAATCTGAAAAGAAGATGCACATCTGAGAGAATATAAATATGGAGAAAAAATGAAGAGAATAGCAGCATTTTAAAAAGTAGAATTCATCACATGGTATCATATTTGGTAATTTGCTCCAATTTTCTTTATACTACTGCGAAAGACTTGCTCCAGAATGATTAACACTTTTTTTCTTTCATACATCCGTTTCTTATTTGTCTGATTAACAGGTACTCACCTCGGTGGATTGTTTTCGTAAGAGCGATTTCCGTGGAAGTGGGGCATTGTTTTCCTTCGGCGGTTGCTCGTCGAAGTCGATGACGAAAGCATCGCTTTTCTTCGTTGTAAATGAGTCGTTATCGTATTTTGTTTCGGCAGTTTGATCTCGTAAATGCAGACCGTTCTCGAGAATAGCGCCATCGACGACATCCGTCGATTTTTTCGTACTAGTGTTTGTCGTCGCAGTCGTCGTCGTCGTTATTTTCCTGTTTCCAATTGGCTCGGTGCCTTTCATAGGCGTTGGCTGTTTCGTCGACTTTGTGTCTTGAGCTTTCAACTCGGTCGACGGACGCTATAATAGAAACGCGTTCGTTTGAAACTCTCGCGCCAAATCATCGACACGTTTCTCTCTACATTATATAACGAGGAAAATAAACGTATTTTCAATACGTGGAATAGTCTTCTGGTGTAAACGAGACACAGAAAGATTAGATTTTTTAATAAAATATAAGGAATGATTTTTACCACTTCTCTTAACAATTTTCGAAGAAAATATACGCCACTTTACATTGCCTCCTCCTATATCAAAACTTCGAAAATATTATTTCTAGGAATAAGAAAAGAGATCTTTCGTAGAATCCTCGCTTACCCTAGCGACCATGTCTGGACTCTTGGACGGTGGTGCTGGGACGGTTCTTCTCGCACGGGTGCTCGTTTCCGTCGCCTTAGTTGTCTCCGGGCTTGGACTTTTCGCCACCCTGGAGAAACGCATCGTACACTTTACAGACGAACGCCCCGTATCCCCTAAAGCGTCGTTGCTCGCGGTAACGTTCTCCGATCGTCTCGGCAAAGATATCTCTTTTCTATTTCCAGCGCGATCATCGATATTTATTCGACGGGGCTGCGACCGTGCCGTTGCTTTCGCCACGCTTAAATCTCTCAACGCGTTCCCTACGATTGCTGACTTCACCGATGTTTCCCCCCTTTTACGATCCGAACTTTCGTCCTCTATGGACCTACGAATATCCTCGATCGATCTCAGCTGTTTCACGGACATAGAACAATCTACATCTGTTGACACTTGACCCGTTTCCCCTCTGTCTGTCATCTCAGTCAACGTCTCATTGCTAGCGGAGAATTTGAAGCGTTTGGACGCCGTGTTCTTCGAGCCTGGCGTTTTGTTCTTATTGAACAGCGTAGAGAGATGTTCCACGGTTCTCGTGGATTCGAGGCTACGTCTCGACGCGGTGCTTCCGGTCTCGGTCGCCTCGCTGGAATCGCCGTCCTGGAAAAGCTTCCGCCTGCACGAAGACGATCTCGATTTCATGGCGATTCGAGCCATCTCCATCGAGACCCTGGCTCCCTCCAACTTTTTCTGAGCATTCTTTCTTCCTGGCGTTCCTTGCAGTTTCCCTTGTCTTCCTTTGCCACCAGCTTCCGTGTTTGTAGACGTTCTGATTGTTCTCGTAGTTGTTCTCGAAGTTGAAGATAGATTTACGTCCGGTCGATCAAGTGCTTCCAGAGAAATCGTCTTCGAGTCACTCGTGGAGCCAGCGGTTTCGCCAGATTTCGTTTGTCTTTTTTCTGCTATTGATTCGACGCTTCGTTTCAAAGTGCCTCGATGTGATCCAGTCTCCATTCCGATAGAATCGAAACGTCTCAATGCCGATTCTACCGAGTCCGTTCTCTCGTAATTCTTAGACGACGGTACCTCCTTTATAGAAACTACGATGAGCTCCGGTTCTCTGATATCGATCGTCGACGATACGGGACCACTTTGCGTGATTTGGTTCTCTGTAACTGTGCCATCGGATATCGTTTCGTGAAACAATTTTCGAGATTTTTCGGCGAAATCGGGCTCTTTTGTAACATTTTGGACCAGACTGACGGATTTCAAAATCTGTACCTGTTCGGATAATGTTGTCTTGGTTTCCTTCGTTTCGTTCAGATTATTCTCTGTCGAATTCGCTTCCACCATTTTATCTTGAATCTTGAATGGACTCGATGTTTGCCCTCCAGCTCTCGAAATTTTAGTTTCGCTTCTCCGATTCGTATTTCTCTCGATTCTTCCTCGTTTCGGATCGCGATTAATCGACTGCGTCATACACGACTTATTCGAAGTCATATTTTTCTCTCCAATCTGAATCGAACCTGCTGCTCGTCTCAAAGCGTTCTTTTCGCTCTTCTCACTCGCCACGTCTCCCTTTGTTCGACTCTTTAAGCTACCAACGACCGTCTCCCTTTTCAAAGACGCATTTGGCGATTTGTATCTCGAGTTAATCGGCTTCTCCTCTTTCGAATTTTTGACCGATCGTTCGAATATGTCCGACTCGAACAAGGATCCTCTCTTTGGCTTGCGCACGGAATACGTGAACAACCTTTCACTGCCCGGTTTCTGACCGGCTGTTTTCTTGCTCGATCTCGAGTAAGTACCTCGAAGCTTCTCCTGTTTTATGCACTGATCAGGCGTAACGATTTGCGCGGACGTGCAACTCTCCGGGTTCGATCTCGCGGCGGAAAGTTCGCCAGCAGCCGGCGTCCTAGCTTTTTCGTCAACTTTCTTATTCACTGTTGTCACCTTCTGCACCCTGTCGACTCTCGATCGCTGTTCCCATTCGCTCGATATTCCACTCGTATGCTGGAACACGCGCTCGCAGGAACTCCGCGATTTGTCCGCGGCAAGAATTGCTCGGTTTCGACCGGTCTGACGCTTCAAGACGTCACGAATCAATTTTGTCGAACGTAAAACATTGTTAGATCCCCTGCGATTAAATAGATTCGTGTTTTTGGTAGTTGAACTACCTTTAGCGGTATCACGAATCAGTTTCGTCGAACGATTTAATATATTCTTGTTTTTCCTCGTCGAATAATAATCGCTGTCCTTAGCAGTTAAGCAGTTGTCGCGACTTTTCGACGATTTATTTTTCACGTTATTTAATAGATTTTTCGTTGTTGTTACAATTTCACGCAAAACTGTTTGCTTAATCGATTTCAGACCCTCGGATGATCCCTTGATCACATTTCTGGAAATTCTAGGCTCGAGAGCCACAGTGGCGGCGGACTTCCCTGTTCCGCGACGGAAGAATTCTGAAGTTACTTCTCTGCTGTCCACGATTTTCCGATACTTAGGCGACGAGTCACGACTGCTGTCTGTATCGACGCTCGTTCTCCTGTCAGCTTTCTCGGTACGTTCGCGATAAAATTGCGGCTTCGTTGGACTCGGTGTTCTCATGTCTTTCAGCGACAATGGGGACGAGCCACGGGACGAATAGCCGTTCTTGCCGATTTTCGCTGATTGAACGTGCTTTCTTACATCGGCGTTTCTCGACGATTTCTCGCACTGCTGCGAGAAAAATTGTGACACCGAGTTTCGAATGAACTGTCTCGAACTTTCGTCGTAGCTCTCCACCGACCGATTCCTCTTTGGTTCTGCTGGCACACCCGTAACAGCGTTTTCGGGTTTGGAAACAGGCAACGTAGGACTTTGTTCTCGACTTTTCGAGTACGCGGACTCTGTCCTCGGTTTTGTTATCGTTTTCGGTGTCACCATCATGAAGGTAGTAGATCTGTCAGAGTCTGACAAGTACTGTGGACTTGTGCTGGATTTTCTGCAGAATATTTTCGTGAGGTCTGGCGATTCTGATTTGACCTGAGCGTCAATGATTCTTGGACTTTCACCACGTTTCTTTATACTTTTCTCGCTGAAATTTGGGGATCTGGAGATGGATTTGTCTTTGTCGTCGATGCTTTTTTTTCTGGTTGACTTTCTGCCTTCACGAAAAAAAAAATGAGGACTCGAGCTGCGTTCTCTCGTTAGAAAGCTGGATGATTTAGATGGAGTAGATTTAGATCTCTTTGGGTAGTTAGGTCTTGGATAACTTGTCGTGTTGTGTTTCACATATTTTGGAAAAGAAGATCTCTTAGTTGAATCATGTTTGAGGGATTCAATGTGTCTCTTTATCCTGTCGTTCATAGATTCCTTTATTGTATCTTTTTTACCTTTTGATTTTTCCATTTTCGAGACAGAGCTTTCTCTGGTGTTTGTACGATCAGGAGAGACAGAAAGACTACTCGAGTCTACAGCATAAGTAGTGGCTGACTTCTCGGATTCTTTGCAAAAGAATTTTGGACTATCGGTTCGATCCTTAGTATCTCTTAAACTCACAGAAGAAAACTTCTTAGTGGCCTTTGGATCGATCGCATACGTCGTGGCGGATTTTTCCGACTCCTTGCAAAAAAATTTTGGGCTGTCACTTCGGCTTTTAGCGTCTCTCATGTCTCTCAAGGACACTCGGATTGATTTATCCGCGGCCTTTGGATCAATCGCGTAAGTAGTAGCCGATTTATCAGATTCTTTGCAGAAGAATTTTGGACTCTCGCTTCGTCGTTTCACGTCTTTTATGACTTCCGAAACTTCATGGATCAATCTTTCTGCAGATTTCGGATCGATCGCGCGAGTGGTGGCTGATTTTCCCGAAGAGAACTTTTTGATAGTCTTTGGATCAGTGGCGTGACTGGTGGCTGATTTCTCAGATTCTTTGCAGAAAAATTTCGGACTTTCGCTTCGTTCCTTGACATCTTTCGAGGCCTCAGAAGACAGTCTCTTGATGTCCTCGGAAAATAATCTGGGACTTTGCCTTTTTCTCATTCCATCTTTAAGCGATTTGAACGTCGATGTCCTCGTGTAATCCAACTCTGTCGGATATTTTTCTCTAGTGATTGTGAAACTCTTCGACCTGCCGCTTTTTTGCATTCTATCTTTCGACAATCCAGGCGATAATTTCTTCGCAGTCCTCGAATCAATCGCGTACGTGGTAGCAGACTTCTCAGACTCTTTGCAAAAGAACCGTGGATTATCGTCTCTTCGTCTCGCAGAATCCGGCGATAGCGTTTCTCCCGCGATT